TTCGGCTTTAATCATTTCGATCTTCCCTGGACTTCATTTGTAAAAAAATAAATATTGCACCAGCATGCTGGTATATGCTGGTTATATGCGTCGAGCCTGATGGTACAATCACTTGATGGAGCCAGCAAGCTGGTGTTGTATTTTTCCCCTTGCATACAAAAAGGTTTTTGGTTGGATAAAATATTAGCTTTTTTTCAGAGCTCATTGTTTACGTATATACTTATATATGTATATGTAAGTAAAAAAATTTTAGTACCATTTTTAGCCACAATAAATACTTTTTCATAACCTATAATATTATCTCTTATATACCAGAGTGTGTTATTTTTTTTAGCTCTTTTTTAGCCTTTTTTTTAAGGAATTTGGCTATCACTAAAAATGATTCGCGGCAACACTGATTGCAACTATTTAAATAAAAAATATAATACCCACAAACATATCGCACACCGACATAGATCTAAAGTACGATCAACTCAAAAAAAATTTTGGCGATTTTTTTGCATAAATCAATTCATAGGACTTACATACAATTAATGGAAATATTTTTTTCTTCATGATTATATACATTAACTAAAAAAAACTGGTGTTATACCTGTTTTTGTATTAATTGCGTTGAATATGTACGATTCACAAGTAGTTTAATTTTCCTCCCTGAATTTGGAGTTAGCTCACTTTATATCTAGATGTATGTATGTAAATTCCGTTTGAGTAGACATTCAGCCGATGTTAATAATTAAACTATAACTATATTTTTACTGTGAGATTAGCGGGCGCTCGATAATCGATACATATGCTCTACATACCACCTAAAATGCAAAAAAAAACGTAACAACCATCGCCGCTGAAATGCAAAAAGTCGTAACTTATGAAAAATTCAAAATTCACTTTTTGATTAATATGATGGATTTCATGGAATTAGAACTCCCCACATCGTTTTAATGAAAAAAAAAATTAGTCACGATTTTTCCCATTTCAGAGACGTTGTTTGTTGATAAATGGTAAGACTTTAAGACGTTTAATACGTCTTGTGAATCCTTATATATAGATCAACATTTCAAACTTTGTAAAAAATTTGAAAAATTCAACAAGTTTTCACCAAAACATTCCGTCTTTTTATTCAGAATTTTTAGAAAACTTTTTGGTATAGCGGCCGTTGTGTAGGGTTAAACGCATAAAAAAAATAAAAATAAAAATAAAAAAGGATTTCCTACTAGCGATCGCCCCTCGGCAGGCAATGGCAAAGCTCCCTGTTGTGTGACAGTTCGCTCTCGTCGTACAAACACCACACTCTATAAGCCTCTCATTAAACGCATCCTGGTATATGGCACCGAAGCAAGGCAATGTCAACATCTGATGAGGCGGCTTTTGAAGTTTTCGAGAGAAATATTGCCGGCGATGCATCGCGATGGAACGATGAGCTGCACTCCAGCTCTGAAAGTATTCAACTCGGTACTCGCTGGTAAGGGAAGAGGAATGTTTTTTCGATTTTGTAGTATGAATTATGAAATATCAACCATTAAAATCTTTTTCTTAAGGCCGGATCACACGATAGCCGTAATGGCCAATTATTGCCTTAATTTATATCCAAATCGTGTGAATTCATAATAAATTGACTCATGCGGCGATCGACGCCGATATTGTGCTTATTGTGCCCACTCAAACATAAACCGGATGGAACAACAGTTGTATAAAATGAGGCACTGAGGTGTGACTGCACAGAATTTGATTGCGACAATTTCTTTATTGTGTGCCAATTCAGCACAATAGAGGTGTGCCAGATTGGTGCATTTGCGGCAATCGTGTGATCCCAGCTTTAAAATCAAAAACAATAATCGGATGGTATCCTCCTTTTCTCTTTTTTAGAAAAACTTACATAGAAACCATCCATCTTCCATTAGAAGTAGTATCAAAGTGCGGAATTGCCTCCATTTGTAAGTAATATTAATCCTCCATTGTACAGTAACTCGTTCGGGCTTTTACATATACTAAAAGCCAACTAAAGGATTAATGTATTCAATGCAAAATAAAAAGGAGTCAGGAATCAAAGTCTTAGAAGATTGGAAATTAAAGCTTCCAGAACGCAAATTGTTTCTAATTTTGCCGACTGTGTATGTAATTTAATTGCAGACAGGGTGTGTAATTTATTTGGGTGAAATAAAAATGTAAAATCAATTATTTGTTTATAAAGCGATAAAAAAATCCGAAGATCATATAACACCTCTCAAAAATAGTGAATATTCATACTTCCATATTCACCTACATACGCATGTCATATACTACATGCTTGTCTAACAGACACATGCAACAATATCGCAGCTAATTACCTCATTTGCATTTACAAAATATGATTGCAAATGCTGTCAAATGCAGACCAAAAACTATATGCATATATGCATTTTAAATTATGGCAAACCGCTTGAAAAGCTGTCTCTTTCCAACTCACTATGTATGGGTAAATGAATGTATGTGTATACCCAGCGACGTATGTAGATATGTACTCATACATACTTCTATACCCCGCAGAAAACAAATTATCAATTGATAAAAAGTAGTCCACTTTTTTGCGGGATTTCGATAAAATATACAACTTTTAGTTAACTACAAAAAGCTAACTTGCAACTAGTTGAAAAGTAATGTAGGAGTCATACAAACGTAATCGCGGTTTGATTTCTTTAAACTAGTTTCTACTTAATTATCCTCATACAAATTTTACTTTGTATACACTCTTTTTCAGTACTTAGCAAATATTTTTTCGAATTCAGGACAAATAAAATGAAGATCGAAATTTTATATTATCATTTTGAAGTTATGTCTGACGGAATTCAAATATGGGACCACCTGCAACAGAATATGTTAACAAATATATATGTAATGTTAAATAAAGTAAATAAATAAACATGTAAAAAAATTAAAAAAAACATATGCCTTCGTATATCAATAATATGTTCAAAAGTAGTTAGTTACAAGTTAGTTGACACCAAATGCAAAGAAAATATAGAGATAATACTGAAATTTCCTTCCTAATCCATCTCAAATGAACTGATACATTTCCTGCTGAGTATACATAAATACAGTAGTGGTCATATGAAAGTTACAATTACACTATACGGCAAAAACTGGGTATTGGACCAAACCAATTTTTTTAAGAGATTGTGTCATAAGTAAAAAAGCAATTTCTCCATTTTTCAAAGTTAACTTTCGAAATCGAGATATGGGCCTTCGAAGTTCGAAATTGGACCTTCGGTAAAAAATTACTTTTAATTATTGTATGTAAAACGCTTACTTAAATGGTATATAACTTTTTTTGTGAAAACTTACATTACAGGTGCTATAAGCGGTCAAAGGTAACGTTATTTGTTTTTTTAACTGTATACCTATCCTAATTATAAGTAATGTGAAATGAAATTTTACTTGTTATGCTAGTGTCTTTTCAAATAAATACTTAAGTACAAATTTGTACAAATTAAATTAAAAAAATAAGTTAATATTAAAAAAAAATATTTTTAAAGCAAACATTCTAAATATGAACGAAATCGGACCATAAATAATGGTTTACCAAATATATCGACTCGTGCGCCACCTACCGACAAAATTTTTAGTGAACTTATTGCTTTTCATGTACATAGTTAATATACGTTCTAAATACGAACCAAATCGGACTACAATTACGGAGTTTTCAAATATCTCGACTCCTGCGCCATCTAGCGGATTAACTCATCTTTCGTATTGCATTATCATCGGGTTCTGAGCCAACTGTGAAGTTTCAAGTCTGTAGGTCATCAGGAAGTTGGTCAAAAATTGAATGCAAGATTTACCCCTAACAAACATACATACATATGTACATTAGACCGCATCACCAAAAAAAAGTTGCGGTTTTTCCGCCGGGATTACAAAATGTATTATATTTTAAGAAGATTTCAGAAAAATATTAAGATTTAAGCGAGCTGAACCGATTTGAAAATACCTCCAAAAATTGAGTTTTTTATGAATAAAAATAGTTTCTTAAAGCACTTTTTGAAAAAGGTCCCCTCAGATGACAAAACAGATTAGGCTTAAAAAATCTGCATAAAAGTATTTAAAAATCTTTTCAACGGAATCGTAATAATGAGATTTTTGATGCTGTTTTTTTTACTTTTTTCAAAGATTGATTTACGAAAAGCTTAAATATATAACTGGGCCAAAGCTATTCTGATTTAGACTTATGGGATCTCGGTAGAAAAGTATTTTCCCACTTATTTTATTTATGTGCAAAAGAAATTTGGTTTTCGTAACATACGATAACTTTGAGCAAAGGGGTCGATATGTATGTATATCCAAAGGAAACAGTTTTTATTTGAAGCATCTATGATTAGGTAAAAATATATTAATGTGGTATACTATTTTGAACTTAAATTTTTTGCTTGCGAATCCAAAACCCCCACATTGGACCCGCACTTTAAATTTAAAAAATCTGACATCAGATTCGAAATCAGCGACCTCAAAAATCTCCGCATACCAAGTTGCAAATCAATTTTTTTTACTTCTGGACGTTTGGCCAGCAAATAGTACACGGTCAAAAATTTGGGTTTAATTTTTAAACCGCACTGGGACTATTGGCTTTTTTAATCTTTTATAGTCTACTTTTTAAACCCGTCAATAGTGCAAAAAACAGTGATGAAGACAATGAGAGTAGTGTGAATATATTAGTAAAAAAGTGTGAATATATTGCTAATATATCTGAAAAAAAATTTTCATGTGTAAACCCCAAGTACGCGGTCATAAAGAACAGCTGATTTTTGTTTGCAGATTTGATTTGTTTTCATTCATGATAGGTGTTAAAATTTGCATTTCAGCGCATAAAAAAAGACATATATATCTAATGTAAATTCACAAGTGCTTACATAACAACAAAAAATCAAAAACAATCTTGTCACTTACCATTTTTTCCATTATTATTATTTTTTTGCAAAACATCAGTACGACATGATAAAACTAGATTCGTTATGTGGGTTGTATTGAGTAGGCACGCTGAGGTTGGTTGTTGGTCAATGACGTTGAGGCATTGTGTTAATGTGTGAGTCAATGAACTTTTATGACAGCTAAAAATAAAAGAAATATATCGCATGGAAATTTTAGTAACGTTATGCCAGGCAACGTCAAGTCAGATATTGCAGCTAATTAAACACAAAGCAGAAAAGATTTGTACATTTAAAAACTTGGTAAATTAACATTTAACATTTCCAATATTACTACAAAAGCTTTTATCCAAATACATAAGCGGGTATTCTTGCAGTCTTGCCAGCGCGTATGTTTACTAATATCTTTAAATCGCTACTACCAAAAAATTTTATTCTATTTTTTACTGAATAAGGGGTAATTTAATTGCTATGAAAATTTTAACTGTTTTAACATTTTGTTATGCGAGTGTCACGTAACGCCAGGGTGGCTACTCTGTAATGCGATGCGAAAGAGAAATGCGATGAGATAGGCGATCGCCACAGCGTATTACTTACGATGTATTTGCCTATCGCATCGCATTGCTCCTTCGTATCCCATTACAGAGTTACTATTTATACATATCGCACGCTTAATAGTATACAGAATTATTTATTTTAAAATTTCAATTTTGTGGGAAAACGCAATCAAAGTTTAATAAAGCAGACGGAAAGACATATATCTTCGCCATTTTTGGGAAGTTTAGTCATCTGTTAGGCTAAACTTATTCTCGTTATCCAGCTTATTAATTGTGTCTTGAAATCGTCAAAAATTAAAATTTCGAATTACATCTCAGAATTTTTTATGACCCATTTGCTTCCATATAACGAATACAAACAATTTATTTTTATATGAAAGAAAACAGTAACATCCTCGACAAAAAAAAAGTATAAAAAATCTACGGTAAATTTTAGCTATTCGAAACTTGCACTTTCTATTACTAGAGTTCAATGGCTACAAAACTGCATAATCAGGCTCTTTTTCTAATTAAAAAGGCTAGACATTTTCACGAAAGTTTGTTGAATTTTTTTTAAATATTGCACAGAGTTTGAAACTTGGATATAGGCGCACACCACAAATCGGGGGAGAAGCCCGGCCAAACACTAACATATGCGTAAGCGCCAATCTATTATTATTACTATAAAATGGACCGAAAAAATTAATTGCGGACCAGATTTTTATTTTTTTTATTTTTTCAAAAACTATGCAAAGTGGCGTTAACAATTATGCAGCATTTGTGCATTCTATACTAATTGAAAAAAAAAAAAAAAAAATAAGTATGTAGTACATACGTTACCCTTTCTTGAATCCACAGCATTTGCTAAATCTATGAGAAGGAAGCTAATTTCTTTAGTAAGATAGAAATTCTGGCACCTTTTCACTTTTTGTTCTACTATGTTTTCTTTTTTATTAATTTTGTAATCTAGCGATATTTAATGATGGGTCGACCGGAAACAGATATGAAAATTAACTCCTTCCTTGAGTTGTCTTTCTTTTCCTTTCCAACTATTGTGACTGAAAACGAGGTTAATCAGCTGATTATCAGCTAGAGCTGCAAAACTATCGATAGTCAGACCATCGACAGTATTCGATATTATTTTTAAAATTAATTCTTACAAGGCGAATCTATACGAGGTGGTGTTGTTAGATCAGCTGATTTCTTTGCCTTACATGTATTTTGTTTTTGCTTTTACTGATTTGACAGCACACCCATCAAAGCAAAAACAAAATACATGCAAACTTTGGGGCAAATTAAGATTTGACATAACACCCGCAATACAAAATACATGTGGTCGTTGTTGTTGTAATATAAATTGGCCTTTAACACCTCGTATAAATTCGCCTTGATTACTGGCGAATTTAGATTTTCGCCGCGGTCCTTCTGAATGTCAAAATGATGTGTTTGTTGTAAGATAAATTCACGTTGTTTACAACAAATACATCATTTTGACCTTGAGCAGGACCGCTTCGAAAATCTAAACTCGCCAGTAACACCACCTTGTATTAATTTGCCTTGGAATCGCATAAGATTTTTGCCCAGTTTAAGATTTATTTAAAATACATTCGAAAATGACGATTGGATACCCTTGTAACCTAATGGACACGTTTTCTAAATTCTGTGAATTGAAATGGAAAAAAGGGTTTTCTGCATAGAATTTAGCATTTTATGGGTGTGTGGAATGTAAGAGGTATTTTAAAAGGTGCGAGGTTTAACGGCGATACACATCATCCCTCTTATTCCAAAAACATAAATGTGTAAAAATGGAAATGCTGAGAAATCAAGTTTGAGTTTTTTATGAGACTTAACTATGCGTTCATGTGACCATTGCAAAATATTTAGTTTCCGTGTACGCGTGGTATTCGGCGTTTTGGTGTAACATAGAACATCCAATGCTTAATAAAGTCAACCAAATAACTCAAAATGGATAAATTTGCACATTCAACCTTATGGCATAAGGGGGACGATATAACTTGAATAAACACTAGGGCTGTTCAGGATGTTGTAGAAATGGCCTTGTACCCTGCAAAAATCGTTGGACCATGTAGTCTATTTGTGGTATATTGGAGTACTTACAAAAGTGCTCCTCTGTCATGCTGTAGCGGACCAACTCGTGTCTCTGCACCAGCTTATTGTTACCCGATCACTGCTCGCGTTTTAACAAAATGTGATTGAAGTTAAGCATTTGAAAGTACATTTGCATGTCTGGCTGTAGCTGAACGTGTAGAGATGCTAGCTGTTATTTCTTAGCTCCCAGCATGTTCGGGTTCGAATGTCGTCAGAGGCAACATGTAATTTTTAATTTTTGTTTTTGGTTTTTATTCATTTCAAAAAAAGCATCTGCGAAGTGAAGAACAACAGCGTGTACAAACGAAAAAATATAACGACAATGTCATTGGAGTATGTTAGGAGTAGTTTTGTGCTACTCTGATGTAATGCAGATATGGAGTATATGGTCCTGCCCTAGGACATCGCAATGTTAATTGGACCATATTTTTTATATGAATTGTGGTTAATTTTGGAGTACTCCTTGGTCCTTCGGGAGTACTCTTTAGATGCATGCATGGAGTAGTCGCGATTTTTGCAGGGTATTTGCAGTTGAAATTGCATTTGCATATTTTTGGCTTGCTGCCATGGCAACCGTGTGCATTTTATTGTTGTGAATTTACAAATGCAACGAATATGCAAATTCAAAAGCATATGCACGATATCCTGAACAGCCCTACCGGATCCCATGTCTGTCGGGCTATCGATAGAACCATATTACAATCGATAGATAGTAGTGAAATTTAAAAAAACATCGATACTATCGATAGTGCTATCGATAGTTTTTAAACTCTACAATCAGCTGCAGTCGTATTTATGCACAATTCAAAACCCGCTTATTAGTGTAGTATTTATTCAATCAATAATACAAAACCATTCAGGCAAAATAATAATGATTGCAATTCGCAGTTGCCAAATGCACATCCAAATAATTGTTTTTGTTTAATGAAAATAACTAAATTTCTCTCCGTTCAATTGCAGCACCCTGAATATTTCGGAAGATAGTTAACCTTAGTTCAAATATATAGCAGAAAATGGATTGCGATGCTGTGGACGACTCAATTGATGATTTCCTAGCAAATATTGAAATTCCCAGTGCTCCTAAAGTACAGAAAGTCGAGAAGCCACAAACTTTGATACTCAGTAGTGCTTCAAACACAAATACATCGGTTGCATCAACGAACAGCACCACCACAGCGCCTTTGCCAAAAACTGCATCAAATCCACATTGCATACTGGTTAATCCTAAACAACGTGGTAATCCCGTGCTCAAATCCATTGTCAACATTCCTATCGAATTTCGTGACGATATCATACCAGATTATGTAGTGGGACGCACTTCGTGTATACTTTTTATATCACTTAAATATCACACGCTCAATCCAGATTATATCTGTCAGCGGCTAAAGGAGTTAGGAAAGCAGTATGAATTGCGTGTACTCTTGGTACAAATAGATGCACCGGTAAGTGTCTACAAGAGCAAGCTATAAACTGATTACTTAGCTCTAAATCTTGCGCAGGAACCGCATTCAGCTTTGAAGAATCTAACACGTATTACGCTACTAACCGATTTAACTCTTATGCTGGCGTGGAGCGCCGAGGAAGCAGGAAAAATCATAGAAACCTACAAGCAATTTGAAAAGCGTTCACCGGAGTGGATTATGGAACGCGTAGAATCAAGTCCACATCAAAAGGTTTGTTCGCATTTGCTCTAATTCATGTCAAAATGTTAATGTAAACTATTTTCAGTTGGTTTCCGCATTGACAAGTATTAAGCCGGTGAATAAGACTGATGCAGTAACATTACTACAGAATTTCGGAAAGTTGGAAAAGCTTATAAATGCAAGCGAAGAACGCTTGTCGCTTGTGATTGGGCTAGGGCCGCGGAAGGCTTCGAAACTGTACAAAACATTACACGAGCCGTTTCTTACAAAGTAATTTTCTTTCCATAAAATAGTACAATAAAGATTTATTTATTACACCAAATAAAGCCAATCTACGAAAACTACATGGTGGAGTTCTTACCTATTTACTCTGTGCACTTCCAAATTTTTATTGTACCATCGTCACTGCATGAAATCAATTGGCCTTGTTGCGATGGGTTCCATTTGACGGCATTCACATCTTGTGAGTGTGCTTTATCTTCTGACGTTATCATTGAAAATGTTGGTTCGTTCTTTTGTGAGTTTGCATCTTCTTTAAATATGCGTATCGCATCATCTCCGCAAGCAGTGGCAATTAAACCCGATTGTTTGCACCACGAAACGTCATAAATTGCTCTCGAGTGCTCACCAGAAATAGTGCATACACATTTCCAAACCGTTTCGTTATCTGGTGTATAAATGCCTTCCTCATTTCCTGGATGATATGCGCGCCAGATTTTCAATGTTTTGTCGTCACTGGAAGATACCAAACGCTCGCCATCTGCGTCGAAATCGATACCCCATACCGTACTGGTGTGCGATTCCAAAGTTGCCGTACTATACCAGTCGTTATCGGCAGCATTTTCAGCGTACAATTGTATTGTATTATCATAAGAAGCGGATGCCAGTATTTCTTTTTTCGGATGCCATACAACTCGCTTAACATCTTGTGTGTGAGAATTAAGTACAGCAGCACAATCGAACTCGTCTTCGCCGGCCAATTCCCAAACCCATACTGACTTGTCACGAGAGCAAGTGGCCAAAAGATTGCCAGAATTAGACCAACTAACGCTTTTAACTTCATTTTCATGACCCTCTAAAGTGGCGATACATTCAAATTCTCCTGAAAGCAATAACCAAGAGGTTGATACAATTTGTTTGTCTTACGTGTATTTCCTACCTGTCGATTTCGACCATATAGCTGTCGTGCCATCAAAGCTAGCCGACGTTAAGTACTGTCCACAAGGTGACCAACTAATTTCACGTATAGTGCGCTTATGACCATCAGATAGGATGGTCTTCGTAGTCCAGTTGTTTCCGGATAATGACCAAATGCGTATCGTTTTGTCTTCGCCACATGAAGCAAATGCATTACCTTTTGGATGCCAAGCGACTCCCCAAATTCGACCTTTATGGCCTTGCAAAGTATGTTCCAACGTTAAGTTAACCATGTTTAGCAGTAATAATGTAGAAAGTACTTGTTGAAATTATATTTTGTTGTGGCTAAACATTAATCAGCTGGAATTTATAAATTCGCAGGCGTGCGCGATGCTTCTTCGCGAAATCTTTTTCTCCCATTCACAATAGCATGAGGTGCAGAAAAAATGAATTTTTACAGTTAGCAAACAGCTGTTACACATTTCTCTACACATTTTTCTTATCAGTGCAATGGGAATGAATGCAATTAAAAATTATCAACAAAATTAAAAAATATTTGTAAAAATTTAAAATCAAGGGATATGAACGGCCTGATCGTCTTCAACAGCGCAAATGATGTCGTTTTCCAGCAGCTTAACACAGCACTTGCTGAGCACTTCTTCGCTAAAAACGCTGACCTCTTTCCCGAAAATGCAACTGCAGCCTCCATTGATGGGAATATCATCTTGCAAATTTTCAGCCCCATCATCAATTCTCAACGTATTATGCATTGCCAATTCGACAATACATATTCAAGTTTCCAGTGTGACAATGGACTTAATTTGGCATTCGGTGATTTGCTCGGATACTCCTTTGTAAAAATAGGTCAACGTCCAGTAGACACACTCAAGCGTCACCTTGGAGCAGCCATTGCACTTGCACGTCATTTTTACGGTGCAAATTTATTTGCCACACAAGCGAGCAGCGTACAAGAAGAGCTGCTTTCTACTTGCCTCGAAAGTTATGAAGAGCATCTGTGGGATGAGGAGCAAACTATGTTGCTGGAGGCGTTGCCACAATTGCTTATCAACAATGAACTGAAGCGTGTGGTGAGCACTGCCCTCGATGGTGCATTGGAACATCTGCGCGATTTGGGCCATAACCGTACACATGCTTTGCTTTTCGCATCACACAAATTTGTCGCTTCTACTTCGTCGAAGCAAGCCCTCGCTTTGAGTCCATGCGATTTGGTATTTTTGTCGTTGCTTGCGCGTTCTCTTCAACGTGATCGGCGACCACTCAACCGTTCCGTGGCCGTGTTTTTGCA